GTCTTTATATCTATCTGTTATAGGATATGGATAGATGGGTGTTTTTTCTTTTTAGATTTGTTTGAGGTGGGAGAGTAACGTGGGAGAGGGATATACATGGGAGAGGGACATGTATCTATTGTAAGAGTTGTGGGAGAGTGAAAGTCTTGGTTTTTTTATTTTTTATAGCTTTTTATGGATAGGTTTTGTTTGGTTTTTTTTTTGACAACTTTTATGGATGGGTTTGTTAGGAGTTTTTATTGTTCTCAAAACGTGGGAAAGGGATATACGTGGGAGAGGGATATGTATCTATTGTAGGAGTTGTGGGAGAGTGAAAGTCTTGATTTTTTTTTTTTACCGCTTTTATGGATGGGCTTGCTAGGAGTTTTTATTGTTTCGAAAGTCTTTGAGAGGGGAGGAAATGAACTATCAACTAAAAAGAGAGCTACCACGTATATTTGAAAATTATGAGAATTTTAGAATATCATTTTGAAGGCTTTTGGAAACACCACTACATTCTATTATATATATAGTATAGATAGATAGATACCATAAAATTGAGTAGAAGAAGAAGAAAAGAAATCCATAATCACACACAAACCTGTATATACACAACATTTATGTATACAATATACATACACAAAAACTTGAGCAAAGGAAGAAGAATAGAAATTACTTTTCTTTGTATGTAAATGCATCAAAAGTTGTCTGAACTTGAGATCAGAAAACAAACCAGTCTCCTCTCTTCTAATTTCAACTCAATTCACCAAAAACACCTCCAAATTCAAACCCAAAACCATTCAACAATCCAATCGAAACCAACCCATCAAAATTCCAAGCAAACCCAATTTGTGAATGAACCCAATTCCAACAACAACCCATCAACAAGCAAAACCCCTTTCTTCGCAACACCCCACAAAAGACCCATAATGTTACACTCCTCAACCCTCTTCTCTCACCACCACCCCCACCCCTACCACAACACCACTGTGTTCAATTCAGAACCTACTTAACCCTCCCTAGCCTTCCTTCAATTTGATCCCTTATTCCTTCAATTCAATTCTTGAGTCTTCTGCCCTTATTTTTCATGTCTAGTCCTTACTATGAGCTATAGATTTCACTGGAACAAAGGCTCTCTCTTAAACAGAGGTGAGGTCATCCGCCCAGACCTCCGACCGGTTATCCGGCCGAACGTTCGGCCGGTCAACCCCCTGGACATTCGGCCCCTTGTAGCAACCCTAAATTTAAGGGATTATATAAGGGATCCGATGAGGTTGGATTTTTAAAGAATCAACCCCTTCTAATAGCAAAAAGATATTTTAAGTCATTTGTTGGGGATGCTCTAAGAATAATTATTTATTTTTTAAATGTTTGATATCATCAAAATTTAGGCATGTTCAAGGCCTTTAATTAAGATTAGGACTCCAAAAAATTTGAAAGAAAAAAAAATAGAATAGAAGGATTATTTAATTTTTGGAGCAATATTTCATTTCATTTATTGACCAATACTTCATATATTGGTATTGTTTGGTATAGTTTATAGAGTTGTTTATAACTTTTTCTTTTTGATTTGATAATCTGTGTCAGCCTGTTTAATATAGTTTCTTCTTATAATTTATGAAATAGAAATGATTTAAATGATCTAAAAAAAAGTTAATTTTCCAAAAATTGGGTATAGTTTATACTTTTTAATTATCAATTTTTATTTTGTGAAAAGAGGTACCAAACTAGCCCATTATCTTCTAAAATTGCAATACAAACATGACACATTTTATAACTTATATCAATAACTATTAATTACAAGTATTAGCTATATTTTTACTCAAAGAATATTGAATAATTTATCAGTGGAAAAGAGTATGAAGAATCAGGAGGGTTGAGAAAGGACTCATATGAGGCCAAGAAGAGAATAGGAAGGAGTTTTGGAGGTGTAGAGAAAACTTAAAGAAGAGGAAACAAGTACATTGGAATTCATGCACTCATTTGTCAGTATATCACTGGAATTACTAACCCAACCAACACACACATGCCCCCGACACTTTTGGAGTGGGGTTTGTCCAAATTTGATTTAACCCACAACTTTGTCCTGCTCCTTTCCCAATTACTCCTTCTCTCCTCTCCTCACTTCTTCAATTTACATTAATATATATTTTTTATAATCCAGTATGAATTCGTACCACCAATCTCATAATCCAGTATGAATTCGTACCACCAATCTCCCTGTTTATTAACGGAAGCTTTAATTAAAATCCGTGTAAAGTCTTTTAAGTACTAACTTTAAAAAATTATTTATATTTTTAGAGATTTTGAATCTGAAACTTTAAAAAAAAGTATATCCCATGTCCTAGATTTTGGAGGGATGTATACGCATTTGTTTCAATTCATGCTCCGATGATCAAACATATTATCATTTCTGAACTTCTAGAATCTGATTTCATTTTGATTTAATTCTTTAATATATAAGTCATATAGTTTTGCATTATGCCTCTATTAGGGTTGTTTTTCTTAGAAATTTAGAGATATACATCCAACCTAAAATCCTTCACTTGGAGATGATTGTTAAAGTATATGAGCTAATAAATTTGAGTGGCTTAGAAATGATGTGGTAGAAGTCTTTAACACCATTTACGTATGTGATTTGGTAGCATATAAAGTTGGTAGAGAGATAAGAGAGACGACAAAAATATATCGAGATGGAGGTTTAGCTCACAAGAAACCATTCAAGACTCAACTTTAATATCATGTTAGAATTTTAAGTAATTCTACAATAATCATCGCCACTGCAGGGCTACCCCTCAGTTTTAAATTTTTATTTATTTTTTTGGTTGCATTGTTCACACACAATATGTAGTTTATTTAGTACTCTTAGAGTGCCATGTGGTGTTATTTATGTGATAGTCTAAATCAATAATATAGTGTCAAATTTTATAAATGTAACATAGTAACTCATTATTATTAGGTAATTAGAAGATAATAGGTAAATCACTTAGTGTGAGTTATGATTTCTTATATCCAAAGCACCACGTCATCAATACCACATAATATTATGGAATTATCTAATAATTTATATTCAAAACACATTTTTATAATCAATTCTATCTCTCTAATATTTTTCTATCAAATAAAAACTATAGAAATTTTAAAATGATTTGTGCTATAAATGATTTGCTTCTATTTTCTAAAATTAAGAATTTTAATTTGTAATTTTTTGTGCTCAAATTGCATACTTACATTACTATTGTGTCCAAGTTATTCCACATTATTATAGAATTTTGATTAGTTGCTTTTAATAATAAATAATTAAATTTTTATGCTTAAATTTAGCTCATAAAATTATTATTATTTTATTGTTGATCACCAAAAAAAATTAAAATTATAAAGTGCCCCATCTACCTTAATTTCTTGGCTCTGCCACTATTTGTATGTATTTTGCATTTAGTTTACTGTATCATATTATCACTATATTAGCAATAAATATGAGTGGTGAAATTTATTTAGTCAATGCAATTATGACAAATGAGATAATAAACCTAATGTGGTGTATCAACATGATCATTCTAGCATTATTCTAGATTTTTTGAAAGCTTTTCCAACCCAAACTTAATTTGCATTGGGTGGAAGGGCTTTCTAGACAATATGGACCAAACTTGGTTCATTTAAAATTTAAATGAGTTTCAAAAATGTGTTTAAATTTTATTTGCTTACATAATAAATTGATCTTAAACAAATTTTTAACGAATTGCATACAAATCGAACTTGAATGTTTACAGCTTTTTATCGAGAGGAGGATAATAACAAAAGAGCTCGTATTTATAGTGGCAAGACTTCCTAATTCATTAACATTATATTTGAAACATGAATTTAGATTGGGATTTGAAAAAAGAAATAGAAATGGGAAAGAGAAAAAAATTAATTTATTTTTTATTAACATCTTTCTCACAAATTATTTTTTTCTTTAAATTCCTACTTAAATTTATGATCCAAATACCGCCTAAAAATATCACTTTCTCTTTCTCTTGAGTTATTATTATGATTTAGCCACCCAAAATATAATGTTTGTCATTAGACCAGCCCCAGGCAAATGAGTCATAAGACTGTACTGCTTTAAATCTTTGCAAGAGTTATCATATGGTAGGTCACAAAGGAGTTACAGTGTTTTCTTTGTCAAATAAATATCATTGAGTGTTGCACATGTGACACCGCCTAAAAGTTCCAAGTCTAGAGTTTTTGAGTTATTTTTTAAATTTTTTTATATAATTGAAATTTAATTTTATCAAAATTATGGGTACACTAGTCATTCACTTTTTAACTCCCAATCATACAAAAAAATTACTCTAAGCCTAAGGTTATATTTGAATCATAAATTTAAATAGAAATTCAGAAAGAAAAAAAAAGTAATTAAAATATAATTATATTTCATTTATTTTTCTTTCCTTTCAAATTTATAATCTGAATACAATCTAAAATCACTTTAAAAAAAAATACTCAAGGGGTCATAATCTTGAATTCATGGGAGAGTATACATTCCACACCATGGGCCTTAGGAGCCCAAATGGTGCAGCTTCTCATCAATATGAATTGTTGCAAAATGTTCACAAGTCTGTCCAAAGTTATTTTGCTAAATCACTTTCTATATGTGGGTATATTCTTTGCTTGTTTGGTATTTTTTTATTTTTATTAATTTGACAGATAATATGTTTGCCTTAATACAAATAACTTAAAATATAAATAAAATTACCTAAAAATACCCTTGAAAAATCATTCACATCCATATGATAGTCAATATTAATTGAATCCCCAAAAGCTATATGCGTTTTTTTTCTTCTTCTCATTATTCAATCCAAAGATTGAAATTACACACAACATTGGGCTATGATTGTGCATAGTGTTATCAAATGAATCACCTAGTGGGCCCACAAACTCTAAAAAGTCTAAAAAACCCTAGAAGTGGGCTTGTGGTCATTACATTCTATATATATAAATAACTTGTATACACATGCAAGTATGTGATGACACAACAACAACAACAACACAAAAAAAGAATTAAAAAAAAAAAATTGGACCTCAAGGTCCAATCCAATTCTATTTAATTTTTTTTCTCTCTCTCACCCAAAAATCTTATCTCATCGAAATTTCCCAATAACATCAAAACCAAACCCCAATACCAAATGGTCCAATTACGCTTCTCGGGTTCAAGCCCAATTCTCTCTCTCTCTCTCTCCCCCCTCTCTTTCTCTCTCCTGTGAAACCCTAGATCTCACGCAGTTGCAGAGGAGCTGAACGTCGTTGGTGCACAAAAAGATCGAATCTGCGTCTGGGTTTCTCTCAGAATCGCCGATTGTGCAAGTAAGAACCCAAATTTTGGGTAAATTTCGAGTCCTTGGTTTTTACTTTTTATTTTAAATAGGCATAAATTATTACAGAGTTGAAGCGTAATATGTGATTGTTTTGTGATTTAGGGTTTGAATTTGCAGTTGATCGTTGTGATTTAGGGTTTTGGTTTGTTCTGGGTTTGTCTCTGTAGCTTTGTTTGGAGCCCAAAGTAGATGAAACCCTAGATCTGTGCTTCTGTTTGCAAATGGTTTTAGCCCATTGATGGTTGAAATACCTGTTTTACCCCTAACCCATGTCCTTGCTTTAATGGGCTTTTGTTGCTGGGCCATACACAAACTGGTTTATTTCTATATGCAGTTGAGGCTTGGAAATGGAAATATTTCTTAAATATTTCAGAAACATATATAAAAAGAAAGTACTATTTATTTTTGTGAAAACAAAAATTAAATCTATACAAATGTTTGCACTACTTCAATAATTCACATCTTTTTACAGAACGGGTACTAGTGTATAATTTGGAATCAGGCATCATCAAATTAATGTCAACCCTAAAAATTCTTGGAGCCACCACTTAATTAGGGGGTGTTTGGGAAGAAAAAAAATAGCCTAATTTAGGCTAAAATAGTTAATAAGACAAAATAAGCTAAAATAGCTAATAAGACAAAATATCCCATCAAACCCATAATCATTTCACTTTTTCTCTCACAAGCATCACATCCAACCATAAAAAAATCTAATCATCTTCCCAAATACAAAAATTTTAGCCTACTAAAATAGTCAAAAACTAAAATAGCCTACTAAAATAGCAACTTTCCAAACGAAGCCTTAGATGAGCAATTTTTTAGTACCTTAGGGTATTATCATAATTTAACTCCTGCTTTCTTTGCCCATACACCCTTTGAATGATTCAATTTAATTTATTGTCACAGTCTCTTTAGACCCAACTATGGCCCTCTAGTATCTTAGTTGAATTTGATTGGTTTATACGGTAAGATTTGCCATATTTGTGTCAAGTGTTGTTTAAGAATGTGTGTGGGAATGTTAGCGACAAAAGTAATTTTTTTTAGTACATAAGAATAATTAGTTTATAGTAAAATAATTAGTTTGTATAACATCTTTATGGTAGCTTGTATTTGCAGACTGCAACAATTCTGAGTTCACACCATTTTCTAAAATTTTTTATTTACCATTTTGTCCCTCAAGCATATTACCATTAAGGACAAAAGTACGCATCCTTCTTCCCCACCCACTATCGTCTACTGCCACCTCCTCCCAACCACACCACCCTCCCCAACCCCCCCACCACCGTGGAACCCCCTGATCTAGGAGGAGGAGAAGGGTGGTTAGATCTGAAGGAGGTGGGGTGAGGTGTGTTGAAGAGGGAACAAGAGGGAGGGGGTGGTGGAGGAAAGGGGGTGACTGGTGGGGAGGGGAGGGGAGGGGAGAGCAAAGCAAAGGGGAAGGGGTGGCGGAGAGGGAGAGGGTGAGGTGACAGGAGGGGAGGGGGAGGGGCTAGGCTGGAAAAAGGGTGGCGGGGAGGAGGTGGCTAGGAAGATGGGATTAGGCTTTGAAAATCAATAGTGAGGGAATTACGGGAATAAAGTGGTGTGAACTAGTAAAATGAAAAATCAGAATTTTGTGTGAATTGAAAGAAGTGGCGTGCAAATAGAAGCTCCCCATACCTCGAATTTCGTCTATTTTATTTTAATTGTTGTTATGGTAAAAGTACTTTTTCTTTCTTCAAATTAACGAAAATGCCCTTCCTGTACCAAAAGGATGAGAGAGAGAACCCTAGTTTGATGTGAGAGTGAAAGATGAAAGCTTCAGAGGTTTTGATCAATAAAACCAACAATGGCGCAAATGACGTGAATAGAGAGCATAAACCCCACTTCCGACCAGCTAAAGATGACACCAAACCACTTCTCCAAGACCCAGTAATCTCTTTCTCTCCCTCTCTTCCCTTCTCTCTCTTCATAATATCTATCTAGTTGTACACACATAAATTTATGGTTGCATGTATGTGTTTATTAACTCTAGACTCATAGTTATTGCTGTTAATTGTCAGTTCTCTAAATTGGTGTGACTTGGATAGATCACATTCACTCATATTTTGCTTCAATTTTTGCTACATCAGCAATGTTGATGTGATTAACTAGTAAGATATAGTGGTTTTGATTGCCTTCATTCAAATTTCTAATAATTGTTCTTGTTTTGGTAGATACTGAGATCAGACCCAATAGAGACCGAGGAAGCTGTGCTTCGATTGCCTCCTGTTTCCTTCCTCAAATCAAAAGCTCTATCCAAGTGACAGTTTGTATGCTTTTTCTTTGGGACTCATTTGATTGGAATTTTTATAATATATATTCGTGTTATATACTTGATCATATGATTAATTAGTCTCATGATTGCCTTGAACTTCTTAATGTTGATTTTTAAGCTTTGATTCCCATGACCATGTGATTGCATGACCATATTCCTGTTGCAATTTTGTTGTTGAATTTTTAAGCTTTGATTTAGATAACAGTGTTCTTAATCCTGAGCGAGAATTTTATTTTGAATTAAAATGGTCATGAAATTGATGATTTAATGAGAGCTTGTTAGGTTTAGAACTTTAATTATCCTGATTAGAGAGACTGTTTTTTATTGTGATATGGGTTTTTCTCAAATCAAGCTCATCTACCGGTGAGGGAAAGTTTTTTTAATTTGAATTTGGTTATCTGTCACACAGAGCTTATGTTGTTTTATTGAATTTCATCAATGTGTGTATAATTGAAGAGTCTTGCCATTTGGTCTTTAAATGATTGATCGAAAGTGTTTTATTAAGACTAGGGTTTTGTGTCTCTGTGAAGAAAAATAAAATCAAAAGAGATCATGGTGAACAATGCATTACTTAGTGCAAAGTACTAATAAAAAATAGTAGCTTATTAGATGCGAACATTGATGTGCAGACTGGATTTAGTGAGAGGTGTTGAGGGAGAGGGTAAATCAATTGTTTCAATTTCATTGTGAATTGAAAATGTTGTGTTTGAGTCTTGGATTTGTGGAGTGAGAAGAAAAGAGAAAGGAAATGTGAAATAATAATAATAATAAATAGCTTCTAATTCATTCATTTTTCCCTTGACAAATTCAAGATCCAAACACAGCTTTAAGTGTCTTTGCAAAAGAAAATATAACCTATGACAAGTGTCACTCAATGATAGAGAATGCCTAACATCTGGGAACTACTTAGGTGGCCACACTCTGCTAGTTCATGGTTTTGCATGCCACTTGTTGGTAGCTTCGATGAATAATTCATTGTTTACTATTTAGATTTTATTTTATTTGTTTATTTATTTTATGCTAGTTATAATAGAATAGCATGCCTTGCAGATGGCAGATTCCTCTCTGCTTATTTGTATTTGCTGCAACTTTCACTTCAGTGCTCATTGGCATGACATGAATTGTTATGTCGTAGAATCTGATCTTCTGAAGTAAACTATGAACTTCCAAGACAATATGGTAGCTTAAATTTGATTGGAGTTTAAAATGTAAAGTTGAAGTTGAATGATTTTAGTTTGGAAAACCGTAAGGTACTATTTTGAGCACTCTTCAACCTGGTCCAGGATCTATCTAGGCATTGTAATTAATACCAAGTCAACAATAGTCGTTTCCCATTTGACTTTTACTCATCAACCGAAGCACCAAAGAACTTTTATTGCATAGCTTGAAATTTTTTGGGTTATGTGGTTGGAACGGAATGCTAGGGTTTTCGAGGATAAGTTATGGGATAGAGTGTGCCATTTGGCATCTCTTTGGGCTTTCATTTCTTCTCCGTTTTAAGGGATTCCATTTTTATTTTTATTTTGGATTTCTAGAGATTAGAGGGTTGCGTGCAATTCGTAGTTTGAGACTTTGATTTCTTTTGGGGGACTCCTTGTGTTCTTCTTGTACTCTTTTTATCTTTTGGGCGAACTTCACTTTGCCCTCCCCCTCCCCCTCCTCCGGTTTGGGTCATGTGCAGTTTACCCCCTTAACATTTAAAAATGACCGCATAACCCCTTTGTGGTTTGTCGACTAAAGTGCACCGTTAGGCCCGTTAACGATTTAATAAAAAAGACTAAAATACCCTTATATTTTTGTCATTTGTTTGGAAGACAAAGTGCATTTTAACCCCCTGTGCTTTTTTCCATGTGCAATTTACCCTCCTTGAAATTTGAAAATGAGCATTAACCCCTTTATATTTGCCACGTGTTTCAGACTTACTGTTAAATTGGATGGAATGTTAACGGTGCATTTTAGTCCACAAACCACGTGGGGGTTAAATGTGGTCATTTTCAATCGTTAGGGAGTAAACTGCACATGGCCCAAACCACAGGAGTAAAGTGAAGTTTGCCCTTCTCCTTTTTATATTCTGGATTTTTTGGAAAGTGGGATGGTTACACATCCCTATTTGTCTATTACCATAGCATGCTATCAATTGTCGTACAACTATTTTTACTGCATGAAAGCTTGTTTGATAATTTTAGATTATCACAAGAAAAGCCGTAAAAAAAATAAAAAATAAAAATTCCGTTTGAAATTCCATTTTAGTAGTTTGCATTTCAGTTTTTTCCCTTGTAAGCTGCACTTGTCAGTATCTCTGGATGGTTTTTTGTGTGAACCACTTGGTTTGAAGTTCCTACTCACTTTTCTCAGTCTTTATTTGTATCGTTATATATATATAAATGATGCCATCATTATTGGTCAGAGACGTAATGCTTATTCGTATTTTGGTTTTCTTGGCTTCTCTAGATACACTGCTATTTTTTTTTGTGGCTTCCTCTTGAGTACATGCTTGTCATGGTTAATGAATCTCTTTTTAGCCTTTGTGTGCCCTTTCTTCTCTTTTGTCAGATCAATCCGGCTATTACAGTATCAAAATATATCAATTTTTTTTTACAGGAATTAATCTGGAATTGGCTTTGCTGCCTGTAGCAAGACCTCACTTCTCATCATCAGATGGAAACCACCCCTACTGAAAATAACGCACTGGCCAACATAGAAACACCGACCAACATGGAAACACATCCTAACAAGCGGAGGAAAAAGAAGTCCGTTGTTTGGGAACACTTCTATATTGAAACTATCGGTGCTGGATGTCGAAGGGCATGTTGTAAGCAATGTAAGCAATCATTTGCATACAGTAACGGTTCAAAAGTAGCGGGTACAAGCCACCTCAAACGCCACATTGCCAAGGGCTCGTGCCCAGTAGTCCTCCGAAACCAAGAGAAGAATCACTTAACTCCGTACAGTGCACCGTCAAAGATGGGCGGAAACAGGAATGGTGTTGATACTCCAAAACGATGCTACCGAACTGCGGGCTCCACTTACTTTGGATTTGATTCAGACCGTTGCCGCCACGAGATTGCTAGGATGATGATCATGCACGATTACCCGCTTCACATGGTTGAACATCCAGGCTTTGTCACTTTTGTCCAAAACCTTCAGCCCCGGTTTGACATGGTGAGTTTCAACACCGTCCAAGGGGATTGTGTGGCGACTTTCCTGAGGGAAAAGCAAAGCCTTCAGAGGGTAATTGAGGGAATCCCCGGACGGATCTGCCTTACACTTGACATGTGGAATTCAAATCAATACGTGGGCTACGTGTTTCTAACTGGACACTTCATTGATCATGATTGGAAGTTGCACCGGAAAATTCTCAATGTCGTGATGGAACCATATCCCGATTCAGATTCTGCTTTGAGTCATGCTGTCACTGCTTGCCTTTCTGATTGGAATATGGAGGGTCGATTATTTTCTGTTACTATCAATCAACCGTTAAGTGAAGCCGGAATTGATAATCTACGAGCTTTACTCGCCATCAAGAACCCATTAATGCTCAATGGCCAGTTGTTAGTTGGGAATTGCCTTGCTCGTACTATAAGCACCATAGCCCAAGAAGTGTTAACGGCGGGGCAAGAAACTGTCAAAAAAATCCGGGATAGCGTGAAGTATGTGAAGACATTAGAATCCCATGAAGAAAAATTTGTTGAGTTGAAGAAACAACTTCAAGTTCCGAGCACGAAGAGCCTTTCTCTGGATGACCCAACTCGATGGAACACAACGTATGAAATGTTGGTGGCTGCTTCGGAGTTGAAGGAAGTGTTTTCTTGCCTGGATACCTCTGATCCCGATTACAAGGAAGCCCCATCTATGGAAGTCTGGAAACAGGTAGAGACTCTCTGCACTTACTTGAAACTCATCTTTGACACAACCACCATTTTAACCACTCCGGTCATCCAAACAACAAACACGTTTTTCCATGAGGCATGGAAACTTCAATTGGAGCTAGCACGTGCAGTCGTCAGCGAGGATCCCGTAATCGAAATCCTGACAAAACCAATGCAAGAGAAGTTTGATAAATATTGGAAAGATTGCTGCCTAGTTTTGGCTATTGCAGTGGTTATGGATCCAAGGTTCAAGATGAAGCTTGTTGAATTTAGTTTCACAAAAATCTACGGTGACAATGCTGCCATGTATGTCAAAATTGTTGATGAGGGAATCCACGAGCTCTTTCTTGAATATGTGGCACTTCCTCTACCTCTAACCCCGACTTATATGGAAGAAGCAAATGGAGGAAACATCAGGCACGAGGAGGCCCATGGAGGCCCACATTTTTCAAATGATGCGCTTGGACTCACGGATTTTGATATGTACATCATGGAGACGACGAGCCAACAGTCGAGGTCAGAGTTGGATCAGTATCTGGAGGAGTCTTTGTTGCCACGTGTCCATGAGTTTGATGTTTTGGGATGGTGGAAGATAAACAAAACGAAGTACCCAACACTCTCGAAGATGGCTCGAGATATTTTGACGATTCCGGTATGCACTCTTTCTCCGGACTCGATATTTGATACGGTGCGGAAAGAGATGGACAGCTACCGGTGTTCTTTACGACCGGAGACATTAGAGGCCCTTATATGTGCTAAGGATTGGCTCAGGTGTGAACCAGTGGAAACTTCGAATGCGCTTGTGAAAATGGAATTTCCAATTTAGGGTTTTTTTTTAATAGTTCTCATCAGGTTGCGACATTGCTATGATGGTAGGTTGTGACGTTTTAGTCATTCCCAGACTTGTAATTTATCCTCTGTTTCTTCATTCTGCTTTATATTTAGATGTTTTGTGGGTTTAGGGAAAACTTACATATTGTACCATTCTATGGAAATTATTCATGGGTTATAGGTTGTTCCTGGTTTAAATTCATTATATGTGGATTGAAAAGGTTGGACAGTTCTCAAATTCTGTTGTTTTGTTTAGTTGTGTTTTTTTTTTTTTAATCACCGAAACAAACTTTATTGGTGAGAAGATTGGAACAAAGAAAAAGTTCAACCAAAACATCAAGGAAGAGGTGAGTGCACAAATTAAAAGAGTATGCAAACTTATCCCAACTAGATTGGCATCAATTTGCACACCTGGTGAGAAACCAACCAAAAGAGGAGCAAGATAGAGAGAAATACAAGCAGCTAAAAGGCAACACAAATAGCCAAACAGCAAGCAACCAGAAATACAAGCAACCAAGCACCAGATCCACCATTCCCTGCATTTTCAAGCTACTACCAGTTCATACTTGTATTTCCCATCTCTAACAACACCTAATGCCAATTAGCCACGCTAGCAGCAGCAGCAAGCAGAATTAATTGAGCACTACCAAGGGAAAATAAAACATAACAGCATCTACCAGCAGCAGCAGCAACAGCAACCAGATTCACTTCATTCTGAGCAGCGAGGTTAACACCCTGCTACACAATAGCATACCTACTCCAGATTAGAGACTGAATCATGAAATGAGTATTTCAACTCTTTCAAATTTGATTTTGCCCACATAGCAACTCTGACCTTTATCAACTCAATCAACTCTGTTAAATTGGGCTTTGCCTCTTTAAACCAACACTCATTCCTGAGATTTCACACAGACCACATCAAAGCTAATGGGACTACCTTCCACATTTTCTTCACCTGAAACTTACATTTTGTACCTGACCACCAATGCAAGATTGCCTTCACAGAGCCAGGGATGACCCAATTCAAATTCCACCATTTGACAATATCATACCAACTCTCCAAATCATATGACAATGTAGCATCATGGACTCCACTTCAGATTTTTGAAAACTCAATTTTAATTAATTTGTTGTAAAATCTTTACACGTGTGTTTTGAACAAAGTTTAGATTAAAAGGTGTGTATCTTAAACACTTTTACTTCAAAATAAGTTCGAAACAAGTTGTCATTTAACATGTGTGTTGTTGCCCATTGACTATTTCAAATCTGAACAAAAAAACATCTGAAATGATATGAAATGTAGTGAACTCATTAACTTTGTCTGAAAGACGTTCAATTGAGAGAAATCCAACTCATTAAGGATTACTTTCTCTTAAATTTGAGGCAAGTATGCAAATTTTAAAATAGTCAAAAAGTTAACTCTTCATATTTTTTTCCACACATTCTCATAAAAAATTAGAAAGTCAACCAAAATACTCTTCTTCTTTTTTTGTGTGTCTTTTTTACTAATTAAATTTTTTGAATAATTTGAATTAAAAACAAATCAAAAATAAAAATTTAAATTGATAAAATTAAAAACCCAAATATTATTTTGTTAAAAATACTTAAATCTTAATTTTATTATTATTATTTTTATTTTTGTTGTTGTAATTGTCTCAAAGATTTAGGGTAACTACCAATAGGTCCTAATAGTTGGACTTAATTCTCATAAAGTCTTATTGAAAATAAGTCTTTGTAAAATTGTCGCTAAAAATAATTTTTTTGTGACAATTTTTTATATATGTTACTAAAAATTAACAATTAGTGACTTTTTTGTCATAATTTTTATAAATTGTCGCTAAAACTTATAATTAGTGATTTTTTTTATGACAAATTTTTTTCATAGGATCTATTAGACAATAAGTTCATTTATTAGGATCTATACGTGTTTATGTCCTCCTTTGTCAACCATATATTTTAGTTAAAAAATCAAGAAGTTACTATAACATCACCATCTTTACTCTTTTTTTTTTTAACATTTTTTTAGTAAAAAGTCCAAAAAAAAAAAAAAAAAAAAAAAAAAAAACTAAAATAACTAATTCAAACGAAGCCTAATTTTCAATAATCAACTTATTTACACGTAAAACAAGTACAAAACAGTTAAAATCCGCTAAGCCGTTTATGGAGCTGAGCAGAAGGGTAAGCGTTTCTGACATATAAACGGTATGCATGTATTGACTCCTAATCATCTTTTTGTTCTGAATCTCTCTAGGGTTTGCACAAACTCTCATTTTTGATTCAGTATATTTGATTTCTCTCATTATTCCTTCACTCTGTTTGGCTGTTTCTTGATTTCCCCTTGTATTTTTTACTCTAATTTTGTTCACACACTCAAATCCACACTTTTTGATTGGTGAAAAATGATTAGGTTTACACATTTAGGTGTGATCAATACACTTTTTGTATATGGATAAATATGCATCGTTCACCCAATGCAAAAGTGTGTGAACAAATTCATTTTCTGTATTCTTTTCTGTTGGTTATGTAAGAATTGGGATTTATATGCAATTTATAGTTATGAAAATATTTTAAGACCCGTAAATATTAGAGGGTTTGATGAAAAAAGAAAGAAATGGAGAGAGAAATTTCTCATTGTTTGTTTGGGTGATTGAAGTTTTGAGACATGTTGAAAAATGATAAGAGATTGTAAGAATGAGAAATATTTTAAACTGTTTTTGTTTCTCATGAATATCGGTTGAAATTTGGTGAGTAACCAAAATTGATGATTATAAAAATTTTATAAATAAAAAAAAATTATAATACCTAAATTACCTTCGAAATAAAAGGTAAATAAAATAAATTGATTCATGTGTCCTCTTTTATTTATTATTCATCAAAACAAAATGGTGAGGTGACATATCACAATCATTTCTTTTCATTTCTCACCTTGCGATCCAAACGGAGCCTTATAGTGGAACAGTTACGTAGTTTAGCAATTCTAATCACTATTCTTAATAGTAGAATCGAAATCGGAGTTTGAATTGGGGCATAGAATTCTCGTTTCACCACCACAATGCTACAGACTTTGGGTAGAACTCACTCTTCAAAACTGGCATGCAAGGAAGGCTACGAAAGCTTATAGTCACGTGGTCAAGTATGCTTAACCGATGCGAGACACAAGATCAAAACACAATCACTCGATGCCTACAAATTTCCATTTAAAAAATAAATAAATAAATTGGGTGTTTTCTCGATATTGCCTATTTTCTAATACATCCTTGGTGTCATCTATTACATATTGTTTGGCTAACCCATAATTATTTTTTCCTCATCTTATATTTTTTCAGTTTGTAATTAGGTAGCACAATCTCTCCAATGCAATGGATCTCAAACCATTCAAATTGGACATTGATGAACTCATAAATGAGTTTGCTGAGGTATCATTTCACGTAGTTGATAGTTCCATTTGCATATTATTCTTCATTGTTCTCTCTCTTCATTTTTGTTTAATTCCTTTTTCCCCATTCATAGTTTAATTCTTGTGGAGTTTCTGGTATCTTGCAGAATAAATTGACAACTTTGGTTGATATGAAGGGAGTATGGCTTTCAAGAAAGTTCTCATTCATATTTGAGGCGAGCCCTACAAAATTGGCTGTCTTTATGCAGGCACTATATGCACATTCAATCAGTATGTCCTTGCATAGTTCAATTGATTGGATATTTGCATATAATCAAGCTTTTTAAAATTTTATCTGGCTAAGTATGTTTAAATAGTATAGTTAGATGGGTAATGTAAATCAATATCCTCTGAACAGATGCATTATAAGAGGAGCTGAGAATATCTTTGTGATATTGTTTTATGTCAGTGTGGATTTTTTTCACCAATGTTCTGCACAAAAATGTATGCACTTTAGTCCCTAGTGCACTTATCTTTTTTTATTACGTTTTTTCACTTTTTTGCATCATAATGTCTTCTATGTTTGTGAAATACTTATCCCAATTGTTGCCATCAATATGATACATACAACTAAAATGTATCCCAAGTTGAACAAGTTTTATGATACATTTATGGTACACAATACAGTACACATGTTACATCCAGCTTCATTTGTAGCATTTTCTTGAGGAAAATTTATTGTAAGCATATGTTATTGGCATTTATCATCCCGTCATCCAAATGTACTTTGGAGTTCAAAGAAAACACGTACTTTTGCTTTGTTTTTCCTTTTTTATAGTAAAACCTGCCACCCATCATTTAGAATTTGTCATCATTATAATTTCCTATGACTTCTTCTTCTTCTTCTTCTTCTTCTTTTTTGTTTTTTTGTTTTTTGGTTGTTGTTGTTGTTGATTAATTCCCTTCATAGGGAGCTTTATCATTTTTACCTTTTTCTCTCAAAATTTTAAAAGTCTTATTGGAATTTTCCATTATAGACAAAACATTGTAAAAAAAAAATTTGTAAGACAAAACTTAAAACCTATGCCTTGTTACATGGACTCTTATGAATTTGTGAAGTACCCATGTCAAGAATTTGACACTTGGGTTAGGTTATGGGATGTGTCCGACATGTCAAGTTAGACATATAACAAACAATTATGTTTTAATGGTAGAGTGTATTATGAAACTATGAATAATACTACCATATCTAAATAAATGGAAGAAAAATATGATATTTAGCCATGTTTTGTTGTCCGCCGGGATGAGAATTAGATTAATTTGACACTAGACACATACATGCACCTGAAACTTGAACTCGAATCCATGTAACATACATGCATCTAAGCAAAGTTGTAAAAACCTCAAAAGTGACATGTAGCACAATTTGGAAAATATGTTGCAAAGATTATTGCGACATATATATTGTTTTTTGTTGGAAACACTCTTTACTGTATCATATATGTTTGTCTGCATTTGAAAAATCAATGTAGTGAAAAGGAATTTCATATTCAATGCATAGATTAATATAAATGTTCATAACAATGTTGGACCTCAAGAGATGTAATTGAAAATAACATCTTTTGATTTTATTGTTGCTCCAGCCCCATGCATGCATGTAGAGAGTCATGCAAAGATGGCGTATAAGGACCTCCACCTCAAGTGAAAGTTTGAGCTGGGCATCTGCAAGACTCTCCCTTCTTTTCACGTTGTTGCCTTTGTTGATTCTCACCATTAACCATTAAAGAAGGTAGAAATTTTTGGTGGGTTGGTATCTCTCTCTCTCTCTTTTTGTGTACAAATAGAGATGGGAGGGAGAGGATGAATTGTATCAGAAATTTGAGAGAGAGAGAGAGCTGTGAGTTGAGTGAGAAGAGTTGTTCTCCTCCTCTGTTTTGTTTTGCTCTGGTTTAGTGAAACTCTCATTTTTGCTCTGTGGACGTAGGCATTGGGCCGAACCACGTAAATATTGTGTTCTCTGTGTGTGTGAGATTATTTTCTGGGTGTGTTTGATTCTAACAAAGTGGTATCAGAGCCGGTTTGTGCGTTTTCGAAAAAACAGAGTGTGATTCTCAAAAATTGCCCAAAAATCAAAGTGGTCGAAATCCACTTGTCATCACACCAGGTTGAAGTACTCGACGAGACGAGCACAGAGGTGAAAGCAGCGTAAAAAAAGAAGCCTGAATGAAGCCTCACGTGCCACCTGATGCCGTTCCTATACGCGCCAACGCGCCCACGCGCCTCTAGAGGAAGAAGACGCGTGATCTCATGCGCAAGCACGTGCCATGCGCACGCACACCAGACGATCTGATGTCATTCGCTGATGTCATCTGAGCCGCTGACCAAGCCGAGCCGTCCAAGCCGTTGACTAGAGCTGCTGACCAATCCGAGCCGCCACCAAGCCGAGCCGCTGATGCCACGCTGACGTCAGCCAATCCGGAGGAATTATCTAGTGCTTCTCAGCCGCACCAGATTTTGCCGATTTGAACCGTTCAACCTCTACCTCAAGTGAAAGTCTGGGCATCTGCAAGACTCTCCCTTCGTTTTACGTTGTTGCCTTTGTTGATTCTCACCATTAACCATTAAAGAAGGTAGAAATTTTTGGTGGGTTGGTATCTCTCTCTCTCCCTTTGTGTATAAATAGAGATGGGTGGGAGAGGATGAATTGTATCAGAAATTTGAGAGAGAGAGAGAGCTGTGAGTTGAGTGAGAAGAGTTGTTCTCCTCCTCTGTTTTGTTTTGCTCTGGTTTAGTGAAACTCTCATTTTTGCTCTGTGGACGTAGGCATTGGGCCGAACCACGTAAATATTGTGTTCTCTGTGTGTGTGAGATTATTTTCTGGGTGTGTTTGATTCTAACAAAGTGGTATCAGAGCCGGTTTGTGCGTTTTCGGAAAAACAGAGTGTGGTTCTCAAAAATTGCCCAGAAATCAAAGTGGTCGAAATCCACTTGTCATCACACCAGGTTGAAGTACTCGACGAGATGAGCACAGAGGTGAAAACAACATCAAAAAAGAAGCCTGAACGAAGCCTCACGTGCCACCTGACGCCGTTCTTATACACGCCAACGCGCCCACGCACCTCCAGAGGCAGAAGACGCGTGATCTCATGCGCAAGCACGCGCCATACGCACGCACACCAGACGATCTGATGTCATTCACTAACGTCATCTGAGCCGCTGACCAAGCTGAGCCGTCCAAGCCGTTGACTAGAGCCGCTGACCAATCCGAGCCGCCACCAAGTTGAGCTGCTTATGCCACGCTGACGTCAGCCAATCTGGAGGAATTATCTGGTGCTTCTCAGCCGCACCGGATTTTGCCGATCTAAATCGTTCAACCTGTTGTGGCTTGATCTGAGCCATTCAGAGTCCGTTTTTTATGATCCAATAGTGCTTTCCAACTATTTGGAATATTCCAGACACATCCATACAGTCAAATTTTTCAAATCAGAATTCAAAAATTTGCAGTCTTTATTTTGGAAATCCGAAGTGTTTTTCGGGCTAATTTGACCAATCCGAACTCAACAACGAAGCCTGATTTTCAGACAAAGATCATTTTCTGTAAAGAGAAGTGTTGATAGAGGAATCAACGTCGACTTCGGGATCCATGATAAAGTTGACTGCTTCTAACTATGCAATCTAGAAGCCTAGAATGGAGGATGTCTTGTATTGCCGAGATTTGTTTGACCCTATTGAGCTTAATAGACTTAAACCAGTAATAGAAAGTGACGAAGACTAGTGTTGTCAAAGTCGCGCCTAGGCGCACGCCTAGGCGCAAGGCGAGTCGAGGCGCACCATCTGCGCCTGTACAGGTACCAGGCGAGGCGGCTTGAGCCAGGCGAGCGCCTTAGCCGCGACTTTAGAAAGGCGAGAGAGGCGCAAGGCCCTCGCCTAGGCGCGACTGAGCGTTTAATCTGTAGATCAGATTGAACGACTTAGATTCGACTCAGATGAACCTTTCGAATGGCTCAAAATCACAGAGGATCAGAACTCATGTACCATATCAGCCGAATAGGACTCAGATTAACCCTAATCGAAGTCGTCTCTCCCTCTTTTGCCTCGCAATCGACTTCGAGCTGCTGGAGCTAGACTTGGTCTGCGACTACGACTGCGACACAAGAGCTGGACTTCGACTGCGACACTGGATCGACTTCGGCTGAGCAGGTTCGACTCTCTCTCCCCTTCTCCTTCTTCTTCGTCTTCGACACTGGTCGTTCGACTTTGACATTCATTTTTTTTTTCCTTCGGCTTCGCAGGTTCAGTCCTCTTTTTTTTTTTTTTTTCCTTTTCTTTTTTTTTTTCAATTATTTGAGTTTATGTTTTTTCAACACTAGTTCAACCCATTATGATTATTATATAAATAAATAAATTAATTCATACATACATAAATAAAAAAAATAGATACATTACATTACATCCATTATGATTTTATTAAAATTGATTCATCATTATACTGAAATTAATTGATCATTAATTAAAAAAATAGAAAATTGATTAATTAATTAGAAAAGATTAATGTGTTGTGATTAATAAGAATTTAATAAGAATTTAATTGATTAATAAAGATTAATCAATTTATCAATTAATCAATTTATTGTGTTGTGATTAAAAAAATAGAAAATTGGTTGATTAATTAATTGATAAATTGATTCATAAGTTAATCAATTTATTAATGTGATGAATTAATAAATTGGTCAAAGTTTTTCTTGAAAAAATAATGTAACATGGGAATGAATGTAATGGAATGTAATGTACATTAATTAATTAATTCATCATTAATTAAAAAAATAGAAAATTGATTAATTAATTAGAAAAGATTAATGTGTTGTGATTAAAAAAAATAGAAAATTG